GAGTTTGTTCCCGTCATGATAATGAACCTTCTCATCATTGGAGGGTAGAAAGAGCAAAGCTGTCTTGTTGGATATTCAGCCTGGTCTTGCCCCTTCAGACTTTTTGTGTTGTTGTTGTTGCTCCTAAAACACACACCCTCTTAAAAGAAACACAATTTGGGTTCCTCAAGGATATCAAAAGGAGTCCTAGTGATGCAGTAGGTTTTGTGCTGGGCTGCTGACCACAACGTCAGCAGTTTGAAACCACCAGCCACTCCACCGGAGAAAGTTGTGGCTTTCTACTCTCATAATGAGTTAGTCTTGGAAACCCACAGGGGCAGTTCTACTCTATCCTACAGGGTCGCTGTGAGTCAGGACTGACTCAATGACAGGCAGTCTAGTATTGGTCTGGGAGGGATACCAAATCTGTCTATTTGACATGGTATCATATCAGAGTAGAGGACTTTGGGGGGAAGGAGTAGAGAGATGGAAACCCCACCTTCAGAAGTATGTGGACCTAGGTGGATGATATGTCAAGAATCAATGGCCTTACATTTTGATATTTGCGTTCAATAAAGGTTTCTTTGATTTTATAGCAATAGTCTCACCCCCATGCGCCAGAACAGAAAGATGGCTGTGCGCCTTCAGGATTGTTTGCTTGCATCCCCTGTGTGCCTGAGTGCCTTCCAAATGAGGGGCTCCTCTTCTAGCACTTTGCAGATGATGTTCTGTTTTGACCCATAGTTTGCATATCTGATTTTCAAAAGTAGATCACCAGCTTTCTTCCTCATCTTCCTTGCTCTGAAAGCACCACTGAACCTGTCCACCACGAGAGGCTCTACAGCTATTGGAAATACAAGTGACATCACTTCCAGCACCATGGCAATACATGAGCCTCCACAGTACCACAAACTGACCAATAGATTGTAGTTCACTTGATTAATGCCTGTTTAAAAAGGCATCAAAAGAGGAGCTGCTACCAAGGGCACAAATAGAATGTAAATGTTTACAAAATAATGGTGAAACATATGTACAAATATGCTTGATACAATTGATGTATGCATTGTTATAAGAGCTGTGGGAGCCCCTAATAAAATGATCTTAAAATAAATAAATATTTGTGTTTTTAAAAAAGGTCCACTGACTAAAAAATAAAAGAAAAAAGTTCACTGACTATAGCATAAAGAAATTCCCCCAAAGCTGGGTTTAGACTCAAGCAGGTGCATGCTTACATTATGTCTCTGCCATTAACCAGTGGTTTAATATTAGAGCCACCTTTCTCATTTTCTATTTTACATTCTCTCAAAGAGGGATTCCAATACAGTCTGTGTAATAGCATTACGATGATGAAGATTAATCTCAACCTCCAGCATGGAATGGAGTGGTGATTCCCCAATTGTATGCACTTTGGAATCATCTAGGGGGCTTCAAACAATCTAAATGTCTGTGTCCCACCTCAGATCCCCAGATGACGCTTGGGTTCAGACAAATGTAGGAAGTCCTGGAATAGTGTATTCAGTATTCAGTAGCTGTGAAATATACCATAACCCAAAGCCCATTGATTTCGATTCAATTCCAACTCACAGCAACCCAATATAGGGATTCCAAGGCTGTACATCTTTATAGGAGCAGACAGCCTCATCTTTCTCCCAAGGATGGCTGGTGAGTTTGAAATGCCAACCTTGAAGTTAGCAGTCCAACGCTGCCAACCCAACAATGCCAATGACACCCAGCAACACCCTTCCTAGGTATATACCCAAACGAACTGAAAGTAGGGACACAAACAGATATTCAACCCCATTCACAATAACCAAGAGGTGGAGACAATCCAAGTGTCCACCAGCAGATGAATGCACGCATATAAAATGTGATCTCTCTATACAGTAGGGTCTTACTTACCCATAAACAGAAGCACCGTTCTGATGCATACTACAATGTATGGGGACTAGAACACATTATTCTGCGTGAGACGAGGTAAACACAAAAGGACATGGTCTTTCATACATGTAGGAAAGACCCAGAGAGGGCAAATGCATAAAGACAAAACTTGTAGCTGTGGTTACCTGGGATGGGTGGAAGAAGGGTGGGGAGGCATTTTCTCAAGGGCTATTGAGTTTCTGTTTGGAGGATGTCAAAATGTGGAAACATACAGTGGTGATGGTGGTACCCCATGGTGAATGTGATAAATGTCACGGGGTGGTCTGTGTCAGAGAAGCCCTGGGTAGGATAATGGGTTATGCACTGGGCTGCTAACCTCAAGGTCAGCAGTTCAAAACCACCAGCCACTCCGTGTGAGGAAGATGAGGTCCTATTCGGTCACTGTGAATTGGAACTGACTAGAGAGCCATAAGAAGATTGTCGATGTAAAAAAAAAAATGGCTAAAGTAAGACATGCTCTGTATATATAGTTCACCCCGACAATTCTTTTAAATTTATATATATCTGAGAATAGGTGAGGAAAATCAGTGCCCGGCCCACACAGTCTAGGCCAGGCTATTTGACTCCTTTCCATTTCTCTCTGCTTTTAATTTTTATTTTTTAAAGGGCGCTTGGGTGAGGGCAGACTGAGCTTCCAGCAATGACTGAGTCCTGGCTTAGTGCCTCAGCTGGCACAAGAAACTAGTCTGTGAGGGAAAGGCCCACGGAAAGAGAAGAAGAGAAAGAGGCACAGATCTGGCATGCTGTGAGAGGCAGCCACGGAGATCCAGTTCAGGACTGTTGGATGATCAGTTGATTTTGAGCCCTTTGTACAGTAAAGCCCCTGAATGCTAATTGCCATGTAACCTTGGAAACCAGAGCTCCGCATTGTGTGCCCTCCAGGGCTGGTACAGGAATGAGCCTGGGCACACAAAGGCTTGGTCTGAGGCAGGGTTTCAACGAGGCCTGAGTGCTCTTACTTACTTTATTTATTTTTTTTTTTGGCTTTTATTTTCAACATTTGTTGCAGTAAATCCTTTGTTTAGTGTTCCTGGATCAGCCATCTGAATGTATCAAAGTTCCAAAAAGTTGAGTATGTGGTTGATGGGTTTCCATGCCTTTTCGTGGATTTTGGAATGCAGCTCTGAATTTTGAGAGCCAGGGAACCACTTGGATTTAAAATCGGCTCAACTCCCCTTTCCCCAGGACAGAGTGATAAAGCTGCAGTGTTTCTGGTGGGGGTGGCAGATGGTGACCTCTCCCCTGCCAATATGAGTTTGGGGGTGGGTTTTTTATTTTTCCAATAGTTTTATCAGCATATAATTCACATATCTTACAGGTCAGTCACATCAAGAAGAGCTGTATGTGTCACTATGAATTTTTAATAGGCTTACAAATAAAAGTAATACTGTGTGGTCCTTAGCATCCAGAGTAGAGGACGAGAAATATCATGTGATATGTCAATATGATATTTTCTTGATGACTGAAAGCAAATTCTTGAATTTCAACCCAGAATATAATAGAAAGCATTTAAGATCCTGAGGGAGTGAGGAGGTGCGGAGGGGTGGGGGGTCCTTTTTGAGAATGGTCAGTCATTTTCTTGATCCAAGACCCCTAATGGAGTCAGGCTGATCTGGCTCAGAAACAAAAAGACCAAAAAAAAGAGTGTCAATTATATCTGCAGCAGCCAAGCCCTGCAGGCTGTTGAGTCTTTTAAGCCAGGCACGTTGAATAAGAGAAGACTTTTTTTCTGTGCAGTGTAACTCTGCCCCTAACAGGGTTATACAAGTACTTTGAGAACAACCTGGAGGCTTTGTTTTTTCTCAACAGAAAACGACGACAGAGAGCAATGCACTGTCACTCAGTCCATTCTGACTCGCAGGCACCCTGCAAAAGCGTGCTGATGCTTGGCCCACCTTTATGGGAACACATAGCCCCCAAAACTCCCGGCTGAAGTTGGCTTGAAAACAAGGCTATGGCTGCTGGTTAACACTCAGTGGCTCCTGGACCCTGTGACCCAACATTTTATATTTGATGGGGACAGTATGTGGCATTTCTATATGCCTTTCTCTTAACACTTGCTGGGAATTTGTTCTATTTTCACTAGGATAAGGAACTAGCCTCTAGTTCCTTATCCTATGTGTGCAATCGTACTTCTGGGCTTAAAAGCAGAATGATGCCAAAGTCCATAGTGTATATGTGTCTTTGACCTCCTTGCTTCAAGCTCTGGGTGAAGGTGCTTTCAAATCATTAAAACAAATTCCTTTGTTTTCCTTTCTGCTTTTGCACTTTTTCAAGATGTTTGAAATACTTCACAAGAATTAATCTTCTTTAATGTTTTAAATCAATCTCTTTGTGCTATCACCATTTGCAGTCCCTTGAATTTACTAGAACTAAATATTGAAAACAAAGGCTGCCTTTTACAAGGGATTTCAAGGTCTTGTTCAGGAAGGACGGACTTGTGGGTGATCCACTAAGAATCAGTTGGTATTGGATAGGCCAGCAGGTGGGCTGTGGACCCTGGTCACCTCCCGGTTTGACAAGCATCCAGGTCACCTGTGGGCCTTGTTGGGAATCAGTGTGAGACACACCTACATATAAATTATATAAATTAAATTAATGTCTAGAGAAAGGATTTCAGACTCTTTCTCCAGCTAATCGGAAAAGATTCAAAACCATCTAATAACTGTGCCATGTATTTGAGTGTTTTCCCTCTTACCTGGTGGTAGCAATTATGAGTGTCCTCAAAGAGGCAATTCTCTAATCAAATGGACCACTTTTTTTCTTATGATCTGAACTTGGACGACGCAGGCCTTTGTTGACCTGGGGGTTGTCAAGGGATCTCCTGGGCAGGCAGAGTCCATGTGCAGAGTGGCATGGCTTGTCCCCATCCACGTTCCCAGGGCAGATTGTGCTTTCAGATCCAAGGCCTCTCAATCAGACCCTGATGCACGAGTGCAACCCTTGGCCACCCACTGGGGGGTCTCGAGCCCACACCATTGCTGTCAGTAAGCTAGCTGTAAGTGACACTGGCGAAGTCTCAGTGCTCCTAGAGAGCACCCATCTCAATGCGAACCATGCTTTCCATCTTCTCTCGTCCACAGGGTCCTGTTGCATCGACTGCATCAGCATTGGCAGCCCTCTCCCCAGGCCCTGGCCTTCCTCCACCTCCTCCTCCTCCACCTCCTCCAGGACCTCCTCTGCTTTTTGACAACAAAGACAGAAAAGAAGAGTCCTCTCCTTCACGCTCAGCTTTATTTGCTCAGCTTAACCAGGGAGAAGCAATTACAAATGGTGAGAAAGCAGGGGCAGGAGGCTGCCTCCCTTTCCTAGATCTCCCCCACACCCACACAGAGGGATACATCCTACTCTCCCCTCCTCAGCTGCCAGGAAAGCAGAAGCCTGCAGTATGCCCCCCTCTCTGGGCAGATGGGCAGACTCCGGGGACTGCTGCAGTGGAAGATAATTCCAGGGTTTCTGTCTTGGCCTGTACTGCATCACCACCTCAGCCCCACCTTCTACAAGGGTGGTATCAGAGACATCAAGTAAGACACCAATGTCAACAACAGCCCTCCTGTCCTCAGGCCACATCCAGGCCACATCCTCATGAGAGACCGTTAAACTGTAAATGATTGAGACATAAGTCTACCATTATTTATTTGTGTCCTCATGAAGGCAAAGATAGGTCAATGATCTAGATCCAAATATCAAACCTGTTGCTATCAAGTCGATTCAGATTCAGAGAGTCATTCACAGGGTGGCCAAGACTGTAAATTTCCATGGAAGCAGACTGCCCCATCTTTGTCCTGTAGAGCTGCTGGGGCTTCGAACCACCATCCTTTGGGTTAGCAACCAAGCACTTAACCACTGCACCACTGCTTTGTGGGTGTGGGTGCGCGCGCACACGCAAGAAGGGACTTCAAAAAGTTCCTGGAAAAAAATTATCCTTTCATTTCATTTGTCCAGACATTTTGTATATATTGTGGAATATTTAAGGAGTCCTTCCCTACTCCCAGAAAGAGTTAGTGTCTTTTGAACTATGGAATGGCATGATGTCTGCATTATCTCCTAATGGTTTGGGGAAAAAATAATAATGAAATAAATTTAAAATAATGATACTATTAAAACTGATTTTTTTTTAAAAATTACAGTCTCAGAAACCCACTGGGCAGTTCTACCTGCCCTATAGAGTTTTTTGGTTTGGTATTGTCACCATGGCTAAGACACGAACCAAAAGGTTTGAATCCACACGTTGACTCTTCAGAGCAAAGCATGGTGGTCTGATTCCATAAATTTTCCAACCAACAGAACCCTGGAGGTTGGTGGGGGGTCCTTCTCTGTTACACGGGGATGCTTTAAGTCAGAAGCAACTTGGCATTCAACACCAGCAACAAGGACATTGAAAAGGCGTCAGGTTCAGCGGCACATGCATTCTACCAAGCAGGATGACAACCTTGTTTTTGCTCTGGCCATGGAGTCAGCACGATGATGTCAGTGTCCCTGTGCTCTGGGCTAGGAGCAAAGGACCCAACATTTGCCTCTGCTTTTCAGCAGCTGTGGGGTCCCTTGTAGGCATGGCCTACAAAGTAAACAGCAGGAATGGTGACCTTGAGGTCCCCTGTGTTCTCTGGCACATTCTTACTGGGATGCCTTAATTGTGTAGGCTGTGTTTAAGCCCTGGTTGATCCGTGAGGTAAGAAGTGCACTCTGGGATGTTTTTGATGAAGTGGTTTGTGTTTTGTTTTGTTTTGTTTTGTTTGCAAAGTTCTTATCATCTCTAGTTCCCTGAAAAGAGGTTATCAAATTTTAAGCTGACCTCCAGGCTTCCATCAAGGAACTCTGGTGGCAGAGTGCTTGCACATTGGGCTGCTAACCACAAGGGCAGCAGTTCAATACCCCAAGCATTCCGCAGGAGAAAGATTCATCAGAAAGCCACAGGGGCTGTTCTAACCAGTCCTATAAGGTGGCTATGAGTCAGAATCAACTCAATAGCAGTGAGTGAGCACTTCTATCAACTCTACATTTATACAAGTTTCAGACTCTGCATCCTAACCTTGAGAAATCACCAGATTGTTAAGAAAATATTTCTACCAAACATTCTTGTGCCGTTTACACCCTGTCAGTCTCAGACCGTTCCCTCTGCACATGCTGTAAAGGATTCTGTCTATTTGTTACGTCTCTAGGACTCCGGCATGTCACAGATGATCAGATGACACATAAAAACCCCAGCCTGCGGGCTCAAGGTGGACAAGCTCGGTCTCCAGCCAAAATCCAGGCTCTGGCTCCCACAGCTCCCAAATCTGAGCCTTCCCAGAAGCACGCTCCTGTGTTGGAATTGGAGGGAAAGAAATGGAGGGTGGTGAGTGGTTCCCTGTAATCTCTCTTTGGAATGTCGTTTGACACACAGACCAACAGCAAAGCCACTTACTTAGGGATTCCAGAGGGAAGTGATGGAGGCAGAAGGCTGCCAGCTAGGATCGAAGACAGGACATTTCTGAATGTATCTGCATGCCATTCCCCAGACATCAGGAGAGACCACTTTGGGGGGGTGGGGGTGGGGGAGCAGAAGTCTGGGTGGCCTGGGCCCCATTCCATCAGTGCTTGTACATCTCATTGCATCTCACTGAGGGGAGACTTACATAAACTAGCCCTGAAGTAGTCACCCTCCAGTTTCAGGGCAAACCCTTTGACCAGGACAAAGGGACTTTGAATGCAGGGGCAAGGTGGCAACAGGACCAACCAGGGGCTTCCCTAAAGACTGAAGCCCAAGGGTGAGTTGTCATTGAGTCGGAGCATGTCCCACATGTGTCAGAGTACAGTTGTGCTCTACTGGATTTTCTGTGGCTGGTTTTTTGAAGTGCTTTGGGGGACCTAGAATGGCCAGCCTTTCAGTGAGCAGCTGGGTGTAGTGACTACACCACCCAGAGACTCCTGGTGACCCATAAAGGCATGGTGCTTAGCCAGCCTAGTTGTCTACCTCCTTCTGGACTGTGCCACAGAATCACTACCTCCAGACACAGCCTCCACCCCTCAAGCAAAAGCTCTCACATCCCCTCCTGTACCCACCCACTAGCCAAGGCAACCTGACAGCTGTGCATTTGAAAACTGGCACTGACCTCCTACCAACCAGTAATCTTATCTCTGTCTGTCAGTGCAACCAAGAGCCCTTGTTGGTGCAGTGGGTTAAATTTGGGGCTTCTAACTCCAAGGTTGGTGGTGTGAACCTACCAACAGCTTCTTGGGAGAAGGATGAAGTTGTCTGATCCTGCAAAAATGTAGTCTTTTTAATTCCAAGGGGTCATTTCTACTCTGTGCTATAGGGTCGCTATGAGTCGGAATCAACTCGATGGCAGTGGATACACATATGAAGATGGAAAAGCCTTTAAAGCAATAATCAATGCTGAGCTCTGTATTGCATGGCAATTTCCGAATGCAGTCTATCTCTATGCACTCATGCTAGGCATATGTTTCAATTTTAGGAATACCAAGAGGACAGGAATGACCTTGTGATTGAAGACATTGAACTGAAACAAGTGGCTTACATTTTCAAATGCAACAAATCTACTCTGCAGATGAAAGGAAAAATCAATTCCATTACAATTGGTAGGCAAGAACGATGGATCTGTGCTTGCTATATCATGAATAATCATTCTGCCATGTGTTTAATGAAGTTTGTTTGTTCATTTCTAGACAACTGTAAGAAGTTTGGCCTTGTATTTGACAATGTGGTGGGCATTGTGGAAGTGATCAACTCCAAGGACATTCAAATTCAGGTACGCAGCTCTTGCAACCACACTGTACAGCCTCCATCCTCTCTGTGAGGGGGTGCCCTTGCCCCTCAGATCTCCCTGGAAAACTACTTGTGCTTCAAGACACTGTTCTGTCCTTCCCTCCTCTGTGAACCCCTATCTGCCTTTTCAGGTTACCAGCACATGTGGAGGGCAATCCTGTGTGTGTCAAAGTTGAACTTTGCTCTGCAGGGTTTCCAGTCGTTGATTTTTTGGGAAGTAGACTGCTAGACCTTTCTTCTAAGGTGCCCTGGGTTGACTTAAACTTGCAACTTTTCAGTTAGGAGCTAAGTTTGTTACCTATTTGGATCACCCTTAATGGTAGCTTCTCCAACTTCTTAGAAAGCATCCCCTTTTGCACTGCAAGCACTAGTTTGCCCTTGCCATTTCAAATTGAGAAAAGGTGTCTAATATGTATGGCCTCGGGATCTTGCACACAGTAGGTGTCCAATAAATATTTGGTGAATGGGTGCTTGGAAAGAATTGCTGAATGAATCAAAGATGCAAAGTGGCTCTTTGAGTGTAGCAGCACTATCCTATAACCACAGCATCCTGCTCAGAGTGCTTTTTTTCCCAGGGAAAAAAGATTCTAGATCAGGAGGAGGAAGAGATTTGCTGAAGTGTCAATGGAATCATCAGAAATACAAACCAGGGTGTTTGTTGGGCTGCTGTGCCAAGCAGAAGACAAGCTATGTTGTTCATGGTTTGGGTTTGGCCAAATGAGATTTTGTAGGAAATGCAAAGTCAGCAGACGTCTTCACTTCAGCCAACTCCAATGTCTACCCAATGCTACTCATTGTTACCCTGGGCTCCCAGAGCTTCCTAAGAGAGTTGGTGAAAAGAATTGGTTTTCTGGCTCTTTCCCTTTGGCTTGCTAAATGATTCACCACTGCCACCTTTCATTATAATGTGTTCCTCTGTCCATGGTCCATCTCACCATCTGCCCATTAGGGTTGCTCCAACATGTGTCCCTTTCATGGAAATAGCCCTAACAGGGCAGCATGAGACCTGGCCACTGATCACCCCCCACCAGGTGCACTTAGGAAGTCCACGTCCTGTCTTACCTCACTTCCCTGTCATGGTACAACCATGGTACATGGTTGGCTGGTGTGTTTAAGGTCCTCTTCTGTCTAAATTATACGCACTCTTGCCACTTAGTCTCTATGGAAGCATTTGTTTCCTTCACATAAATACTCAATCCCAGGCCCTATCTTCACTCTATTATGACTGTTCTGTATAATATCCAAGTCTTCTTATCCATGTGTAATCATTTCTCCACCAAGCCCATTCTTTTGTAGAAGACCATTTAAAACAAATCAGCCAAAGAGTTCCCCCCAGACAGACACTATAGCATTGCCTTCACTTTGTAAATGGGGAAACTTGACCAGGCTGGGAATAACATTTTAGATTTTGAGCTATGATTTATTTCGCAAGGCTGTGCTCAGCACATCCATTTGCTAAATATTGACCAAACATCTCACCAAACATCTCTGCTACACGCTCTGTGTTAGGCTGGGTTTTTTTTTTTTTTTTAGAGGAACAAAACCAGAAACAATTACTGGATTTGTTCCTCTAAAAAAAAAAACCAAAAAACCAAAACCCAGCCTAACACTCATATATATGTACAAGAAAGAGTATTATATCAATCTGCCCAACTCAAGTCTCTACGGTTGGCTGGAAAAGGCCCCTCTAGCTGGCCAATAAAGAAAGAAGGTGAAGTGGAAAGCTTGGAGATCACAGCAGGTGATTCAGAGCCACATGGACCCAAGGTCAGCAGGAACGTGGCAGGGCACCGACAGCTTCCAGGTCATCAGGCCATATGGATCACCAGCACGTGAAACCAAACACAGGGTCCAGTCAAACAGGAAGGAAAAGAGGGGCAAGAGAGACACCAGTTCTCCACAGTGTCTCTTATAAAAAGACCACACCGCCTCAAGGAGACATTATCAGGCTATGACTGTATTGTTAAATTGGACTCCATCCATATCTTCTTACAGATGCTGTCAAGTTAGCACACAACCTGGCCACCACACCATCTGCTGTTGTCAGTGCGGGTGCACATGCCAGACAAAAACCCTGCCCTCAGGAAGCTTACATTCCAGCAACTCTCTCTCTCAGTCTAATCTTTCCGACAGCCACCTTCACCCACTAGTCAACACTGCTTCCTCCAGAGGATTATGCATGAACAGGTGAAGGAATTCATCATCAGAAGAAATTCATTTCCTCAAAAAACATATGTGTTCACAGAAATTAATAATGAGTTCTCAATTTATTAAGCAGTGACGTCACTAGAAGACATTGGGGGCCTAGTGAGACCACGCTGTAATACTGGGCAACAAAATGACATTCTATCAGAAAATTTTGTGCAATGTTTCAACAGATAATTTTTTTAAATAAAATATCTCTTTAGTTAGTTATCTGACAATGTTTCAAAGCTATGCATAAGATTTTTAGCAACTGCTTTCTCCAAAGTGGGCAGCCAAGTCCTTCTTCGTATGTAGTCTGTTCTTAGTCTGGAAGGTTCTCTGAAACCTGTTCTTTTGGGTGACCCTACTGGTGTTTGAAACACCAATGACACAGCTTCTAGCATCATAGCAACACACAAGTCACCACAGTACAACAGAGTGGCAGGCAAGTGATTTGAATTGCAGTGCTAGGGAAGAATATTCAAAGTACCTGTGATAGTTACATAATCGGATGTCAATTTGGGACTTGAGAGGATTAAGAGGGAAAGGGTGGAGTCTAATCTGTCAACCGGATCATAGCCAATGTGGGCATGGCCTTCTCCTGAGAACTCTGGGAACTCTGGTATTTCCTCCTTGGCGGTGGGAGACACACCTTTTCTATGCTTACTCTCTGAGAGATGGTCTACTGACAAGACATATGGCACTACGCCCTGGGAGCTGGAGAAGCCACATGGACCTACCCTGATGCAACCAGATTTCTGGAGCTGGAGAAGTCACGAAGAGACCCCTGCCAGCGCTGAAATGCTTATGACACCACTGGATCCACAAGACTTCCAGCCCACTGGCCTGTTATCCTCCTGCATTCCGCATCATTACATGTATTTTACAAATCTGAAGAGGACTTTATAAATTGGTATCAGACATATGGACTAATGTTGGACGTATGGACTTTATCTGGGTGGAGCTGGGAAGTTTTCTCAATATCCAATTGCTCTTGTATATAAACCTCTTTCTTATATACATATTGATGTCTCTGAATTCATTTCTCTAGTCTACCCAGACTAACACCGCACCAGAATGATAAGCCCATCTGTCTTGGAAGACGTCCAGTCAGGGTGCTCCGTAGAAACAAGGATAGTGAAACTTCATCTCACCTACTTTAGACATGTTGTCAGGAGAGCCCAGACCCTGGAAAAAGGAGGCATAATACTTGTCAAGGTGTAGGGGCAGTGAAAAAGAGTAAGTCACTTGAGGAGATGGGTCGACACAGTGGCTATAAGAATGAGCTCAAGCACAGGAATAATTGTGAGGATGGCGCAGGGCTGAGCAAAGTTTTGTTCTGTTGTGCATCCGGTTGCTGTGGATGGGAACTGACTCAATGGCACCTCACACCAATAACAACATAGTGCATTATAACAGCAAAAGAATGCTTATAAGCTCATCTTTTGCGTATCAATAACAAGGTTAAAACTCTGTGCTAGTTTACTTTTTGAACCTTCTCCTGCACTCCTAAGTAGCCCTGGTGGGGTTTTGAGTTGGCCTAGTAACCACAAGGTCAGCAGTTCACAACCACCAGCCACTCCACAGAAGAAAGATGAGACTTTCTACCCACCTAAAGAGTTGCAGTTTGGGACCTCTGGCTTGGAGCTAGTTTGTGGCAAGATGGCCAAATAGGCCAAGAAGGTAGGGGCCATGGGTCAAGGTGAAGGAAATTGAAATCAGCCCATATGCCAAGTCCAGTTGCTACTTCTGCGGCAAAACCAAAATGAAGAGCAGAGCTGTGGGGACCGGGCACTGTGGTTCCTGTATGAGAACAGTAGGTGCTGGTGCCTGGACCTGGGAGACCACCCCAGCTCTCATGGTAAAGTCTGCCAGCCGAAGACTGAAGGAACTGAAAGACCACCCACTGAAGCTCCACTGTTCAAAACATCTCTTGCCTGTAATACATGGGCATTTTTAATGTTGTTGTTGTTGTCTTTTAAGTTACAGTCTTGGAAACCCACAGGGGCAGTTCTACCTTTTCCTTAAGGGCCACTATGAGCCAGAATCAATCAACCAGATGACTGTTAATTTGAGTTTGTTCTTGGAATGCACTCCTGTGAAAGCTATCATTATGACCCGGTTGCAATGGTGCTTTGAATCACGTGGCTACCAGCCCAAACTGTTGTTTTCGTTGCTGCTAGTGTTTTTATAGTCACTTATTTTGTCCAGTTTTCTGGAGTCTCGGTTACAATATGGTGGTCATTAGTACTTGTAATCTTATAAAAAAGCAAGAGCCTTTTTGAGACTAAGGTGGTAACAAAAAGAAAAGGAGAAAATCAGAAAAGACTTCCACCCAATTATCTATATAATATTGCAAGTAACAAGAAAATTTAATGTATAAAGATTTTACAAAACAATTTTATTAATATTCCTATGATCCATGAAACACTGTATTTAAGTGGCTTATATAATCATCATATATTAGTCTGTGATTAAAATTAATAAGAAACTTTTTTTCTGGTTACTGTTTGGTTTGTTTTTATTTGTTTGCTTTTTCATTAAAAGATAATTTTATTGGGGGCTCTTCTAGCTCTTATAACAATCCATACAGCAAATCCAATATGTATCAAGCATATTTGTACAGATGTTGCCATCATTGCTTTCTAAACATTTGCTTTTTTTTGAGCTCTTGGTATCAGCTCCTCTTCTTTTTTCCTCCCTCCCCACCCCAACCCTTGTGACCCCTTGATAAATTATAAATTTTTATTATTTTCGTATCTTACATTTCAAAGGATTCTCAAGTGTACAAAGGAACCC